TTGTGAAATTCAAACTGAATGGTAAAAGAATAGTTTCCGGTCTATTCTGAGCCCGATCTCTGTAGATAAATACAAATAAAGAACTACGACAGATGTGTAATATATTTAATGCAGCCGAACCATTTATTACAATGCATTCATGTGATGACTTTCAAAGAGTAAAGCAAGCACTGCTGAATAAAGTATGATTTTATATTTTACGAAACGTTTTTTTTCATATTGAATGCAGTTGGAGGTCAACCAATCACAGAGCTTGAGAACTAATCACGGGGTTTGTCAAACAGAGCACATGGTCTAGTCCTAAACGATAGCTGGGGATTCTGGGTAGTGTAGTGTCTTCTGCCATCCTTTACTCCGAAAAAATATTTGTTTTTCCGAATCGAAGGGGAAAAATACAAAAGCATTGCACACAATTTAAACCAATCAATGTTGTGTAATTAACAAGGATAATCTGGTGTTTTTTAGTCGATGAGTAGTGCAGATATCACTGTAAAATCAATCGACAGTAAGGGGAATACTTACTTCCGGGTGTACAATTCTCCGTTATCCAATGAGAATGGACGCTCACATTGCCTTTAAGGGCAGCCGACACAAACGAATGCCGTGCTTCCATGAGCGTCAAATCCCGTCGCAGATGGGAATACATTGCAATCAGTTGAAAGCTATTTGCGTCCCTTTATGAAGCTGAAGGAGCCTAGGAGCATCACAACTGCACGCCACGGACACTGACCAAACGTCGCTCCTGGACAATTATGGAGTGAGAGTGTGTTGGCCCAACCCAGTCTCACGGCATTTCGTGTTCACCAACACGATTTTTAATCTATTGATTCGTGTTCACCAACACGATTTGCCCCTTTTTTTCGTGTTGCACAGCACGATTTTAAAAGCAATGTATTTCTACTGCCGTGCAGCACGTCTTTTTCTCCGGTCGGGTCGAGGAAGACCGGAAGCTGTGTGGTTCATAAAAACATGTTCTTACTCAATATCAAGCTACAGTTATTGCTTTTATTTGAAATCGTATAATTTCGGACTTTTGTTGCCGTCTGTGAGGAAAATAAATGGGGCTCAGAGCCTCAGGATACAGAAATCTATATTTTTAAATATTTTTTTCCTTCTAATTCGATATTCTTTTCAAAATAACACACTGTTATTTACTCAACAATAACACACAATTATCCTTGCTTTTATTTATTGGTTTAATTCCATAATCTCGGGCTTTTTTGGCGTCCGTCAGGAACTGAATTTCAAAATAAAAATAACCGGAAACAGACGTAGGCCTATAAGGGACATTTCGAGCATCATTGCGATTGTCAACATTTCTGAGTTTAGGATGGCCGAAGACACTACACTACCCATAATCCCCAGCTATCGTTTAGGACTACAGTCCCCGTAAGGTTACGCAGAGCGTCAAACAGATGTGTGAAATGGAACGAAACCACGCCAGACTATCCAAAACTGGAATCGAACGCCCCCCCAGACCTACACATGCTGGCTATTGTGTTTCGCAAAATGTTCTATGGGACGTCTCTACTGAACGTTTTCGTTTTTCCCACAATTAGAAGTTGCCAGTATTAAACACATTGGTGTTATCAAATGTAAAACATATACAATTTTAATAAATGGGTGAAAATCGCTTGTGTCCATAATGCGCAGCATTAATACCCACATGACAGCTCATTGTTACTTTGTAATTCTACTCCACTACAATTCAGAGGTTAACCTGGTATTTTTACTCCACTGCATTTATTTGAGTTACTTTGCAGATTCTGATTAATTATGTGAAATATAAACAACCCTTAAATCAGACTTTAGTTACACCTGAGTAAAATTCAGGTAAGGTGATTGTCAAGTGCCAACAATCAGGAGAGATATTTGATAGTTGGTGCTTGAGAAGACTAAACATGTATCTGCAATTGACATGAATGGAAACGAGTAATAAAGTATATTCATTACTCGTTATTCTCTACTAATAGTTCATTAAAGACTGTATATTATGGCTATTTTGCACATCCCTTTCAAGATTTTCAAAGGTGTATTGACATATGATATACACAACTACGGTGTAGTTATGCAATGAATGAAACACTTGGGTCACAGGTTCCTCAACAGTGCATTACAAGACATCTATCAATATGTGTGTACCTCCACCATTAAACTGTCATATTCTGCACATTTCTTATTCTATCTATCTACATAAGAGTATAATTCATTTGTATAATATCAGTTAAAATAAGTGCTTCAACACAGTTAACATTGCAGGAAAGCAATATATTAGACGTTAAGTACTTTGTCAGGCTTAATATTTATCTGTAGATAGATACCCCCAAAGTTTTTTTCTTATTTAAAAGAAGACCTTAATCTGTTATTTCATGTTTAAATAAAGGTTAATTCGTTTTTCTGTTTTACACCTCCTCCTATTAATATCTTTGTACATTCTGCACTAAACTGTTTTATTGTAGAGATCACTTATAGTATCTTCTTGATTTTTTATATTCTATATTTATACTTTCCCCCTATGAAAGTATGTACTCTTAATATTTTTTAATCAAATAAAACACAATAATTCAATAACGTGCTTTAACCACTAGGCGGTGCACACAAGGTACACACAGCCATAATAACTTTGTATTATTAGTGTAGGACACTTTTGTTTTCGTACAACATCTGAATATGTGTAGTTTTATGCATGCTTTCACATAATTTTACAGCATATTGCTATACTATTTCAGACTCAGTATTTACATTCTTACATTCAAAGAAAATCAGTAATATCTTTAAAAACTACAGTCCTTTTATATCAGCTGTGCACCGTTATGGTGTAAATATAACCTATCTGTGAATTAGATCAAATGTAAAAGTCAGCCGAATTAGTGTTGATACTGCAAGGAGACGTATTGTGTGAAGAGAAATTGAAGATGTTGTTTAATTGTTGAATATATTTATGATCCACGTCAAGTATTCAGTTTCGGCGGCATTTTCTCAGTTTTTCCAAAGGTCTTCTCATCAGGGCTCTATAAATAAAGAACTACGGCAGATCTGTAATATACAATGCAGCCGAACCGTGTATTGCAATGCTGTTATGTGATGACTTTCAAAGAGAAAAGCAAGAGCGCTCGGAATTAAGTATTATTTTATTCTTTTAAAATGTTTTCCGGATTTCATATCATATAAACACCAAATCCCAGCATGCATTGCGGCTAAAACATCCAATAAGCGAGCTTAAAACCATAGCTGAGGATCTTGGGTAATCGCTCGAAATCCCTACGTCTGTTTCCGGTTATTTTTATTTTGAAATTCAGTTCCTGACGGACGCCAAAAAAGCCCGAGATTATGGAATTAAACCAATAAATAAAAGTAAGGATAATTGTGTGTTATTGGTGAGTAAATAACAGTGTGTTATTTTGAAAAGAATAACAAATTAGAAGGAAAAAAAGATTTAAAAAATACAGATTTCAGTATTCTGAGGCTCTGAGCCCCATTTATTTTCCTCACAGACGGCAACAAAAGTTCGAAATTATACGATTTCAAATAAAAGCAATAACTGTGGCTTGATATTGAGTAAGAACATGTTTTTATGAACCACACAGCTTCCGGTCTTCCTCGACCCGACCGGAGAAAAATACGTGCTGCAGGCAGTAGAAATACATTGCTTTTAAAATCGTGCTGTGCAACACGAAAAAAAGGGGCAAATCGTGTTGGTGAACACGAATCAATAGATTAAAAATCGTTTTGGTGAACACGAAATGCCGTGAGACTGGGTTGGTTGGCCAGATAAGCCAACATCCCCCATTTTCATCACTTACAGCCCCCATAGTACAGGGCAGATGAAAAGTGTAACCGCGGTGAAAAGGGTGTTACATTTACTTAATTATGAATATTGTTACATCAAGGCCAAAAATTAGGATGAGCACCAACGGTCAAAAATGTTTTTTCCCCTCCCAGAACTGCCAGCGCAGCGCCTCCCCAGATCTGGTGCCCTAGGCGAACATCTATAATGCCAGTGCGACGGGCCGGCCCTGAGTTCATATGCAACTCGCATATATCTTTCTCTCTCTCTTCTCTCTTTTCTCTTCTCTCTATCTCTCTCAATGTTGGTACGCAAATGCGCCTTTTTTCAAATGACCCGGTGCTCTTTTTTTGGCGGAGGTGCGCATGCGCACCTGCGCACCAGTTATGTGCAGCCCTGTGTATATCAATATATATATATTATATATATACAGTATAGCCAGGTTTAGCTAAAATTCTTGGTATGTGTATGTTTTGACCATTTGAACAGAGCCAGGCAGGCTGTTTTCCCCTACATTCATTCTTTATGCTAAGGTAAGCTAACCGTCTCGTGGCTACAACTTCATGTTTAACAGACAAACGTAAGAGCAGCATCCATTTTCCTTGTTGGTTACTGTTTGAAATAAAGCATATTTCACAACATGTCAATGAAGAATATAAACCATTTTCACAGTCATAGGACGTTATCCAGGAGATAAAAACAAACAAACTTAATAATGTATCAATAACGATCACAATACAAGCAGATGTATATTTCTGTTGCTATATTAATTGTCTGTTTTTGGAAAGCACATAATGACCTGTATTTTATCAAATGTTTACATTTTATTACCTTCCTCTGCAAACTATGCTGTCCTCGGCATTAACGTCACACCAACATGTCTTTTCTGGGCGTACATGAACCTGATTACGTTTTTGTGTGAGCTCGATTGCAGCGAATAACATCACTTATAGCATCACTTATAACGCTAACGTCACAGAGCTGTCATGGTCTGTTGTTGTCAGAGAACACACAGGCAGTCCGACAGAAACCAGCGGCATGTGATCATTCAAACTAAGCACACTGACTCAAGAGAACAACTGGGTACAGAGAATTGCACATGGCAGCAAACAATCACAAATTAATTCAATTAGTATGTGTGTGTTTGCATAGTTTATCCCCCCCTGTTGGCACATTGACATACAGTAGCATATAGCCAGTGTCTGTTGCTCACCTGCTGTGTGATGGCAAAGCCAATAACCGGGTCTCCCTCGGGGATGTCCCATGTCACCACAGCAGAGTTGGCTTTCACTGCGCTGATGGTCACATTGACAGGAGGCGACAAGCTATCTGCAAAAACAGAGAGAGAGAGAGAGAGAGAGAAACAAAAGCTTGTTTTATCTTCTGCTGTATTCTGAGAGTAGCCTATACCAGCCTATTCTGGTGGCCATTTCTGCAAACGGCCATCTCTGCAAACAGCTATAGCTGTTTGCAGAATAGGCCACCAGAATGGCAGGAAGCCAAATTGGGTTGTGTAAATAAAAGGCTCAGCTGAAACCATTATGCAAGGTGGAATCCACAAGTATAGAAACACAAACAATGGTGAAGAGAAAGGTGAATTGTAATACTTTTGGTGATCCTCAGATTCTTCCGCTATCTCCACCAGTCCAATCCTTTGGTTCATAACCAAGTACCTGCAAAGCTTCCCATCATCCTCAGCTGTACTTTGTGTGCAGGAGTACTAAGCACATGTGAGCTAAACTAAGATCACAAACATTGTGAAGATTATACTTGTTAAGCATATTATTTTGTTGCAAGTAGGCTTTCCTGCTGACATCAGCAATTAGCTGCGAAGCACTGCTACAAATTGTGGCTTCCCATCACTTGCAACCGCTATCTGTCAGTTTATCAGTATAAACGTGCTTCAGTTACCACCAACTCTCTGAAGACGCTAATTATTCCACTGTTACTGCATGCGGCTATTGGCGCTGATCTTTGTGTATTGGACTGCTTTAGAAATGAGGCTCATTTGCATAGAAATGGGCCAATTTTGCCAACCGAGACGATATTTGCTTGTCAGCGCGGTCAGCGGAGCATTTCACCCTTTGCTGGTGCTAAGAGAGTTACACGGTTTGTTTTCGTTTTATATGTGCAGGTTTAATGGTTGCAAAAGCCGTGCAAACTATTCTCTCTTTTTTTATATTCACAACACACCTCAGACAGTCGAAATGTTTCGTTCAATATTGCATGCATTGATTTTTAAAGTTTTATTATTGAACATAAATGACAGAGCAGCCTAAATATTCTGGGGCAAGATGAGAGTAATGAAGTCTTTTTGTCTGTCTTTGTAAACTTACCTCATGGCTACTGAGATTTCAAACTGTTTAAAAACTGCATAATTTATTTGAAAATCTTTTAATTCTGCACTTGAATTGAACTCCCCAAACCCAAGAGATCATTGGTGCAGTATTTTAAGAATATATTTTCAATGCCAGACAAAATTAAATATATTTCATGTACAAACTAGAGCGGCAATCAGGAAGTGCAGAACTCTGCCAAGGTCAATGGTGCATTCAAGTGCTCCTCCGTTAGCCCCATTTCCTGAATTAATACCACTATGATTCCACATTAACCAAAGTGAAAAATAATTCCTGGATCCACCACCTGATAAGGTTCAACTTCAAAAACAATTGGGGTTTTCTTTGGCTCGTGGTACACCTTTCCTATAAGTTTCATGAAAATTAGGACAGAACTTTCCAGTATTCCCGCTAACAAACAGATCTGAGACAAAAACCTCCTGGATGAACAACAATAATGATGCCAAAAATCAAGGAGAAGAGAAATACAAACTCTGCACATATACCAAAATCTATCCCACATTAAAACTGTTTGTTCATGGCTGAACAGAATGAAAGTCAACAGGAAGTCCTCATTACATTCTGAAGAGTCCATTGACCCGTGTCAATATTTTTGAAAGATGCTGTATTCTAAAACTGAACGAAATACAAGTATGATTAAATGATAACAGAAGGCAAGGTTAAGGGCTAAAAGACTTGACAATAATGACTTGGCTCATTTTCTAATGAAGCATGTGATTGTGTGTGTCTGTGTGTGGTGGCCTGAGCTGTTACACAATAGGACTCTAATTACTGTTTGTGTTGTTTTTGGTTCCTTAGCATATTTTCAAAGTGCCTGCAGTAGATGAGAACACACCCATTTGTTTCCAAAATATTGAAATGGATCTTTCCTAGTTCCTTATTATTTATGTTCTCATTAAACTATTTTAAAGTTTAAACTATGGATAAAACATGTAATTGACGTCACTGTCTTGCTGTACAGGTGTAACAATATGTTGTGGCTCCATAATTGATGATGCAAATACACAGACATATCTAGGAATTAGATATGAATTACACAATTAAACAAATGTAATTTAAATCCAATCAGTTATGACTCGCAAAGTGCCCTCCTTGTTTTCATTTAGATGCAATTAGCGGTTATACCTGAGGGTCTAATTAAAACGTATCAAACTGTGACCGGTCCAGAGGTCTGAGCTGCTGCCTGGAAATGCTGGAAAGGCCAGGAAAGAACCCACGGGTCAGTAAATCAGTTAAACAGAAGATGCTGTACGCACAGTAGGATTAATGACCATCGAAGGCCTTTTGAAGACATTTTCCAACCATGTTCAGATGTGCTTTTTTTTCTCCTGTTGTCTGCACATTCTTAATGAGATCTTTATTATCCAGTTTATATATGTTAATGTTATGTAAGGCGCTTATTTTATGAATGCACTCTCTTAGAGAGTTAGAGGAGATGACTCCAGATGAGAAGACATACACGGCAGAAGTGAAAACATCCAAATACACATTATGGGGTTTATTTAATACTCTGAGCCAGATGTCTAACACTTACATTCACCAAATGTTAAATTGTTATTCCTATCTATTCTATAGGTTTTTATTGAGGGGGTTGTTCATATATTCTTTATCAAATATTACAATTCTAGAATCATGGTGAAAATTGATTTCCTTTAAAAATAATGTTGACAGTGTTTAATTTGTAGAGTAAAAAGAGATCTAAATGACGCTTTGTAAAACCATTTGATAAGTGTTTAAACTGATTCCTGTGGAAGAAGATATGCAAATTAGCAAAAATCTAATAAGATATTGCCTCATTTAAACATTACATTTTAGAAGCCTTGGCAGACAAAAAGTAAAGTTGTATGGTGATTTCGATCAGTTAAAATGTTTACCATATTCTCCTAGTGTCTTCTCTTAAAGAGATCTTTCACGGTGTTTGTAAAGAGCCAGTCTGGTGGACATCAGTTCTCATGAATCACTGCGGCCTTTTGGGATTGATTAATATTTGTAATGGGAAGCAGAAGTGAGAGAGATGAATGGAGAGGGGGAGAAGTGGTCACTCTCAGTGACGCCGCTCTTCAGTCTTTAATGGGATATAAATCTAATTTAGCCCACCAAATGCAGTCAATGAGTTATTGAATAGGTTACCACTCACTTGTCCTTCGACGGGTACAAATCACACAGCTGATAATTACAGGATGATGAGCTGCAGTAGCACTTGGATACTGACATACTGTACATTGGGACGGAGCAGGCCTCTGTTACAGCCCCCCCGCCTCCCGCTGACACTGTGATAAATGGCCTGACTAACAGTAGACGACAGGATGAACACCTGCGACATCTCTTCATCAGCGGGGACTCGGATGTTTGATGTAGCTTTGCTTTGGTTTACGATTTCCTAAGAAGCCTGAAGGGCCGCCGTCTTAGGCGGAGGGGCTGATGGGACTGATGAATTCACAAATCAAGCTCATTACGTCTGTTAGTCCTCTCTCACTGACTATGTCTCTCAAACACTAACACCGCTTTCAAAACACACAGTGATAGTTAACATTTAGCTCCTAATGCCCTTCAGGGAATACATTAATTGCTGTGGCTGACAGACCGTTGCCCTGTTAGCACATGTGTAATACTCCTCCTGGTTAGAGACTTGTGAGTGCTAGAAAAAATAAATAGATAAAAGGAATCAAAAATCGATGCAGAAGGAGCTGAGGTATCTCAACTTTTGATGTTGCCTTCAAACCTGTTGTATGGTATATTGGCTCTGGTACAAGGAAACAAATATATAAGTGATGTCTTTTAGTTCCTATACATTTAATCACAAATGAATCTGGAGTGAATCAAAAGTCAATCAGACTTGAGATGCTCATTTTATTAGAAGTAGAGTCTAGGTAGGAACAACACAATCAGAAATGTTACTCTAATTGAAGCAATGGCTGTGCTCACCAGTGTTGGGCAAGTTACACGTTATTTGAAAATGTAACCAATTACTCATTACCCATTACTATTTAAAAAGTCATACAATTACTGATAACTCAGCAGTGATTGTCATGCGCCATATTACATTATTTGTAGTTTTGGAATTATTAGGAAGTAGAGCGGTCGTCCACCATTTGGGAAGTCGGTGTTTGGATCCTCAGCCCCTGCAGTCAACAAGTGTCTTTGAACAAGATACTTAAACAAACATGGCCGACAGTGTGTGAATGTTAGTTCCCCTGAGCAGGTAGCACCTTGAGTGGCAGCCTCTACCATTTACAATACTCTTTGTTAGGTCTGTAACAGCTTTCTTGTCAAACAGGCGAACAAACCATCCCACCCCCTATCCAAGTTTGGTCGAGCTCAAAATACACAGATCCCACATTACCCATAATTCAACTCAATTGCCTTTAAACTCCATGCCCCCAGTTTGTAGCACAGGCTGTCTGTTATCTAATCCCAGATCGGGCCTGGAGATCTTCCAAAGCTCCTGCAGAGCCACAGACTTTTAAAAAACATTTATAGGCTTAGAAACATTCTGCCTCGACTTGTTCACTGATCTTTATTTGAAGTGAAGTCTTTAATGGGCAAGACTGAAGAAAAACAAGAAGAAGAAGAAATTAAAGCTGACTACTTACAGATAGAAGATAGAAGGACCCCACCCCTCCCTTTGCCTTAAGTCTTTTACAATCTTATATATTTGCACAGAGCTGTTTAGTCTTTAACAAAGCCTCACAACTTCTGATTTAACTATACTTTCTCTCTGCTCCGTACAATGAAGCAGCCTGCTGCAAAGCCCTTTTGAAATTAGATCTTTTCCATCTTAAAATAATGATATTTTTATTGATGTTTAACTTTTGAACAATAAAGTTGAGTGGAGCATTCATTTACTGTAAATAATACTGACTGGCTGTTGGCAGTAGCGAGGGAAATATTGTGTTTTCTCCCGGAAAATCAGACCTTGATCTGTCAGACAGTCAGAGACGTTGAGATTACATAAGAGAAGAATGATAATAA